GGCGCTCGTAGTGAGCAATTTCATTAGTTCGTCGGGTTTTGTGAGTTGGAAGCAGTGTCGGATAGTGACCAAGTGGAAGGACATTGGGAACATGGCAGGATCAAGCGTCGAGAAGGTTCCATCTTGCTTTAACATCGGTGTCACAAGCGCCATAACGAAGTCAAACAGCTCCAACAACGCCTCGTTCGTCTCTGGTTCTGTCGGTAATAACGCAAAGATAGCTTGTCCACCTGGCTTCTGATTCTTTTGACGTGACAGCGTCTCCATGGCAGAGAGCTCGTTGGTGCACTACAATATCTGGTCTCAGCCTCAAGGCCGGACATTGCGCACGCTGTGCGTAATCTCAGCAAGTACCTGTCCTGCTTCGACCACACACACTACGCTATGGGAAAGAGGGTGCTACGCTACCTGAGTGGTACTCAAGACCACGGCTTAGTGATGGACATTGTTATTGGGAACGACGTCAAGCTGACGTGTTACACCGATGCTGACTACGCTAATGACCCTGATGACCGAAAGAGTGTTAGCGGGTTCGTGACGTTCGTCAATGGTAACGTGGTTTCGTACGGATCAAGAAAGCAAGAGATTAACGCACAGAGCACAACGGAAGCAGAGTATATTGCCATGAATGAAGGCACTAGAGATCTACAGTGGCTACGTGGACTCTGTGAAGAACTATGCTGGGAGTTCGCGACTCCGGAGATTATCGGCGATAACAAGTCGTGCATCTATCTGACTGCCAAGCCTGGCAAGCACAGCAAGAACAAGCACATTATGAACAAGTTCCACTTGGTGCGCCACCTTGTGGAGGACGAGCAGCTACGGATTCGCCATGTTGGCACCGACGACATGATCGCCGACGCGATGACGAAGCCATTGCCGAAGGACAAGTTCGAACATTGCCGTGATGGGATGAAGGTGCTGCGCATCGACCGTCAGCAAGGCTCAGCTCGCTCAGTGGGAGCCAAACATCATCGCCATGCGTGAATGCAAGCTACTACTACCCGTTCATGCATGCGAAGGACAAGAAGGAGGAAGAGCGCTACCAAGGACGAAGCGTCGTGCTGCAGCGCAGCTAGAAGATGCCAAGGACATCGTGGTGAGCTCTACAAGGTGATCATGTTGAAGCTGCGCTTCGACTAGATCAAGTGGGAGTGTGAAGTGTGGAGGAAGAGCCAGGACTGCGTCCAGCTCAAGCCTGAGGCTCAGGTGCCTCCAGGACGCGATGCTCGCGTCCAGAAGCCGGACTTCGACGGACCATTGGCTGGCGAGCCGCCAGCCCCATCCTACTGCTAATCCTACCAATATATGTTACCGGGGTTTTTCCGTGTGCTGCTACACACTCGACAACTTGCGCCGTCAAGAGCAAGCAGCAGCACTCGGTTTTCTCCCCTGCTGGACTTTCAGTCCCTGCAACTTACTGTTGTTACGACTACTTCCTTCATCGCAATGGTCACCACTCGGCGTAGCCGAGGAGCGACCATCACTCACAACCTAAAGGAAATACTCGCAAGCAGTGCGAGCCTGTGTCCTGCGCGCCGCCCAAGAGGCTCAAAATTGGAAGGTTATCGCTGAGTTTCACGATGTCCATGAGCGGACTGCATGGGGCTGGATCAAGACCACGATGGACAGCGGCGACTGGAGCGGCACCCAGCAGCAGCGTGGTGGTTCATCCAAGAAAGGTGTCGAAGCCCATGTCGAATATCTGCTCGACGAGCTCGCCAGCACACCAGAGCTAACTCTCGTTCAGATGGCTGAGCTTGTCGAGCAGAAATTTGACGTACGAGTCAACCGTGAAACGTACGACGCGCTCTTGACGCGCACAGCTTCACACTCAAGAAGCTGCACCGTGACGTCGTCAACCGCAACAGCCCGGTCGACAAGCAGAAGCGATACGACTACGCTGTCAAGTTCTACGCCGCTCTCGCAAACAACAAAAATGTCTTCTATCTGGACGAGACCAAATTTAACTTGTGGTGCTCGCGCGGACGAGGATGGAGCGCCAAAGGGCGGCGAGCAGTGCAGACAAGCGTGGCAAGCAAAGGCAAGAATATCCATGTTATTGCAGTTATCGCAAGCACGGGGCTAGCCTATCAGGGGTCCCACTTTGGTTCGCTTACGTCCGATCTACCGAACGAGTTCATTCGGCGTTTCTTGCGCCATATCCGTTTGTCGACGCCGCTCGACGAGATTGTCCTGGTCCTGGACAACGCTCCATACCAAGGACGCTTTTGAAGAGGAGGATTTCGCCGCGGCAGAAAAGCTGAAACTTGACCCCAATTCCCCCATGATCAATCCTATAGAGAATGCACTTTTCTTCTACAAGAGCGCCGTCAAACGCTTCCTCGCTCGACAGCGTCGAGCTGTTCTTCGCGCCCCCGACGGAACGACCATCACCGAACATCGCGCAGGATTTTGGAGCTCGCTGCCGATCCCCTGTTCGCTGAAGTTATGACGCCGGAGCTGTGCAATCGGGCGTTCTGCCATACACTTCCCCACCATCAACGGGCTCTCCGTTTCGAGGACATGCAAGTTGGCACTTATTGCCATGGACGGATTCTGCAGGTATATACAATCTTA